GAAGCAGTTGGTATAATATATTACATGCTTCAAAGTCAACTACTTAACTATAATCTTAAATTCAATTTCCAAGAACCAACCATTGTAACCACAGTGATCTTTTGTTAATTCTTTAATTAGCTCCACAGTTTTTAAACCATGAATCAACTTTTATACTCAGAAATTCTCATAAATATATCACTCATTATTCTTTATTTCTACTATTAAAAGGGGGGATAAATAAAGTAGCACTTGTTCTGGTCATTTATATTCTGGGAGGATTGAGATTAGGAAGATATTTTATCTCTGTTCCATCTGATCCAAGTTTCTTCATTTTAAAGAGAGAATGAGGAACATAGGATTGCATTATCAATAGTATAAGCAAATGAGTAAGATTTCAAAACTCTTGAACAAGACCATAAAATCCTACAGTCTGACAAAAGAGCTTGATTCTGGAAGTTACTACTTTAATGTGGGCCAGATTACAAAACCAGAGATTTCTTTTCAGTGCTTAAACTCTCTCAGGTTCTGCCTTTCTTTTTCTCTCTCTGCCTAAAACAATTGTTTCTTCTCTGAACCCAAAGATTCTCAAACTTTCTCACCACCAAGATCTGTACCTGAGAAAGAAGCTGCAATTTGTTCCCGCTAAACTAAACAGACGGGTAAGGAGAAGGAGCGATTTTTCTCAGGGATATCTGAATTCTAACAGAGGTCAAGATTGTCCAAATTTGATGGATAATCTTTAAAAATATGTTTCACACATCCTTGCTTTTTTAAATATAAATTTATCTTTTTCTCAACGTCTTAGTGTTCGCCTTTGAAAACAAGATCTCCTCTGTATTTTATTTTCACACCGGGAGATTTTTTTCCCAAAAAGAATTCTAATCATCAATAACATTGATGCTGCTGTTCCGTGTCTCTCCTTCTGAAATTCCACTTGATTGAAATTATCCTTGAGAAGAGATAATACTTTTATAATACTTTTTAATAATACTTTTATAATTATTTTATACTTTGATATTGGGGATGTTTTGAAAGAAACAAATCTAACCCATGGTGAACAGTAGGTGACAAGTAGTGCCATGCAGACCTGTGCTTTGTGTTCATGGAAAAGCACTACTTTTCCTTTGATGGAGAGCGCCTGAACAAGAGGCAGGTACTGTTACCCAGACATGAATCCATTGGTTGTGCTGTCTGGCCTTCAGGGAATGTGCTGGTATGAAGTTGTTTCTGCCCCACAAATCTGCTCCTTTCCAACTCCCACTATCAGTTTCCACTTCTCAATAAATCGGCCTCTGCTGTGCCCTCCTGTCCTCCGTCTTTCTAATCCACTGCTCACTGTCACTCAGAAACTTGAACCTTCTGGGAACACCAACAGCGAAATATCAGACTTGTTAAATAATGAAGATTAATTTGATACAATATAATTCAATGTCAGTATGGCTCTGTGCGGCTAACCAACCCCACACCAATTATTTTGTCTCTCCAGGCTCTAGTTTCCTGACTGAGGAATGGAGGAGCTAGGTTGAATGATTCCAAGGGTTCCTCCAACTTCGAAAACTTTGATGATTTTATGACTCAAGCACGTGGCACTTGGTAACAATTTTCTTAGAAGCTCAGAAGTCATTTTTGCTTAATTTTGCATTCCCAGCTCTGTCCCTAAAAGTTGATGTTGAACTCACTTGCCAGACAAATGAGACGCGAAAGCGCAGTGCTGTGATCTAAGAGGTCCACAGCCTCTCCTAGGAAATTGTGAAATCCAAAAAGCTTTCAAAAGCAAAAGCTTTTTAATAAGTTCTGTGCAAAACTTATTGCCAGCAAAACTAGACCTGAACTGCTGGGAAGAAGTTTACAGTCTTTATCCTGCTCAGTTGGAATAGTCAGATGTTCTTCTGCAGATAGATTAATATATTTACTACCAGGTGCATCCCAGACCCCATCAAGGTTGTCAGATAAAACGTAAGATGTGAACCTTCTTGACTAAGTATAAATCTGAAAATCCCTGAATTCTGAAACTTACCTGGTCTCAAGGTTTCATATAAAGGATGGTAAGGGAGAGTGAACCTGACAGATTTCCCAGGATGACCTGAAATCTACAATATTTCAAACTTTGTGTCTAAGAATAAATAGCGCTTGGCATGATTCACATGTTTTTCATGTACTTGCATGTACATTCTTTGAAAACTGGTAATTTTCACCATGTACCTTTTAAATCATTAGTTAATCAACATATTCAGTTACTAAGTAGTTCCCCATTCCCTGTTATGGATAAATAGAAAGTTTATGCATTTTAGCATTTTTCAGATCAATCCTGGGAACAGTGAGACAGCCTCATACGAAACAAAAGAACAAGTAAATGAGGAGATGTTTGAACCTGCTTAGAAAGTAACTGGGATGCAAATCCAAAGGCCCTTTTTCCTCCTTCTTACTCTCTTTCTAATACTGTAAATCTGTATCTGAATGTTTGCAATCAATTCATTGTAATCCATCAACATATTAAGACAGAATTTCTGGACTTTGCCCAGTTCCTCAGGCTCAAATAGAAGAAGTCCACTAAACATTCCCTGAATGAATGAACCCATCAGTGAATGGATGACACCCTGATAGCCACCTCCCCCATGTGGAGCAGAGCTGCATTATTTTTGCAGATCCATAAAATACAGAAAAAGTAGTCAGTAAGTTCCCACATAGAGACCTTCAGAAAACAAATTATCCCTCTGAGCTGAGTTCCATAGCTCTGTCGCCTTTTGGATCAAACAGAAAGTAGCTTTACTAACATCTTTGGTTAACAGTCCTCTGGCCGATCCCACCTGAACCTTCCATGGGTGAAAAGCCAGTTTCAAAGAAAAATACCTTCCCATCATTTGACATAATCACGTGGCAGAATGAAAAGTCTGACAAGAGGTCAGGGTGGGGAAATAAAGCAGAAGGGTCAAGTTATGGCAACTTTCTACATGAGCAAATTAATCGCTGCTTTCAGAAAGAATGGATATGACAGACAATGGTCTAACAAACGCTAAGGAAAACAAGTTCATTTCTTCAGTGAGGGATAGTGAGCTCATAGGCATGTTTTTGGGCAGAGAGAACAAAAGAGAAAGTCTGTCATATACTTACGTAATACTATTCCTTTTTAAAACTCAGACATATAAGACATAAACTAGTTTTTGTTTTCACTCGAAAGAAATTAACTTTTAATTTTTGAATGCTTACTGCAGGTAGTGAGCATTCATTTGAAGAACATGTTTAAATGTGACAAAGGTTTTCAATAAGAAAACAAATAATTAATTTAAAGATTTTTCCTAATGTTAGAGATGAAAGTATACACATTCTTGGGTAGAGTCGGGATTTGTGCTTCTCAAACTTTCTCTTGTTTTCATTTAAGTGAATAAACAAGAACAGATTTTAATGTGCTTATTAAAAACCCAGCAAAGGCATACTAACAGACTTATGAGGATATTCAAAATCTAAAAAATGGCAATATTACTCTTTAAGTAGTCTACAGCACATTAATCATACCATTATGACTAAAGACTAATTAAAACCTGTCACACTTGTTTACGAAAGTTAATTAAATTGCACAAAATGAGCTCAACATCACTGGAAAGCAAAGGGAAGCTTTAGAGCCATAGGGTGAAAATATCCTAAAATTTTATGTTATAAAACAAAAATATAAAACATTATCAGCAAATGTTTCATATTCCCTATTTAAGCATTTTGCAGACAGACCCCTACACGCTTCTGGGATTTTTGCAGGCTTGGATGCAAACTCTCCAGTGACTCACGAATAAATATGATTAATGGATAGAACTTAGTAGAAATTTTACAAAAGCCTTTCAAAAGCAGGGCAGGACTGTGGGTTGTGCAGATGTGTTTCTTACAGGGCCTCAGCTACCGGTTTTGGAGACGGATAATTTTCTGCAATTTAAAAGCTAGGAAGTCAGTCTTTGGGGCCCCATTGTTTCTGCTGATTTTGCAATGCTTCCTGATGTGTATTTTATGAGTACATCAAATCTAGGTATCTTGGGCTACACGTCTTAAAAAGAAAGGTAGACCTAAGCAAGAAACCAGTACTATGTGAACATTCAGAGAACACCACCTCATTAGGTATACTGGACCCGCAGAAAGCTTTCGTTGGGTTGCTTTACAACCCTTGAAAGTCCTTGAAATATGACTCAGAGGAAAGCCTAGTAATAAGCAGCACAGGGAGGAAGCAAGACAAGACCGAGTACTGCGAGCCTGCTCTGCTTTAATAAGCAGCCTCGTTTGCCCAGTGAGCCGCGGGCGCTGGTGCCGGGACTGCCCAGCGCTCACTCCCACCTCCGCCGGGAACAGCGCTCCGATCTCCCTTTGGGGCCTTACCCCTTCCTCACTCGGAGTTTAGCGCTTTGGATTATGCTGCTCTCCTCCCGCGGCTCCAGACACCAAGGGCAGGTGACCCAGGCAGCACACCGCGGGCCCGCGGCAGCCCTCGGGGGAGAGTAGCCCTCGTTCTCATGGGCTTGCTAACCCGGGAGGGCGGAAGCCCGGAAAGGCCATCATCGGTGCCGCAGGAGGAAAGCCTGCCCAAGAACCGAGCCAGCGCAGGCGAGAGCAGAGCCAGGGGCTGTTTTTTCTTTTGTGATTAAGCCCGTTTGAATTGCGTTTCTGTTTTCCCTAGGATCTTCTCCCTTTGCGTTCATCTTTCAATTCTTTCTAGATCCATTTCTTAAGCTGCCTTGTCCTCCAGACGAGAAGCTCTCAGATCCCCTGCAAGGAGAAGCAGCCCGGAGAAGGCAGCTGGGACCCGAGGGCCTAACCCCTCGCTGGGCGCCGGCCATAACCATCCTCGCTGTCCTCTGCAGAAAGAAACTCAGAATCCCTGCGTATATGAGACCCATTATGGGGACTGTCTCTCGCCTCAGTTTACATGTCTAGCCCCATCCTGATCTTTTATCCAGAGATAAACTATATTTAATCCAGAACTATATTTTATTCAGAGATAAACTATATTTAAGACATCCATGATGCTTCCCGCATGAAAGGCTCTTCCGTCTTTTCTGCCCATACCATTTAAGAGTTATTCCCAGGGGGTGGGTTATAGCTCAGTGGTAGAGCTTACCATATGTAAGTACCTGGGTTCAATCCCTAATGTCTCCATTAAAAGAAAAAATAAGTTATTCCCTATGTGAGGCACCACCATCCTCAGATGGTTGGAGTTCCCTGTTCTTTCCCCTGGGATCTTGGCTTAGACTCGGCTTAGACTTTGGGAATAGTGTGTACCAGGTCATTTATTCTGTCTCCTCTCCCTTGTTAACCAGAGTGTCTCATGTCTCTGTTGCTTTTCCTCCCACCAACCATTTGCTTCGGTCACAGCACTCTGATCTTCCTCTGGGGAACTACCTGCCACACTCCAGGTCCTGTGTTTTGGGTCAGGTTCCAGAAATGGCTCCAGAGATGGGCCCTGCTCAGTACCTAACACACAGGAACGTCTCCTAGTCCATGTTCAGTGATAATAGCAAGACTCCAGGCAAGGAAAAGTAGAACATGCTGTAATGATTAAAATGTCAAGATACTTCCTGGTAGAATTTTTGAGAAAACAAAACCAAAACCAAACACACACACAAACCAAAAAACCCTCAGCCATATTTCAGTAGGAGCACACAGAATGACAACCAAGTCCTTTTGGTAGGATTAAAACAAGCAAACAGCCTAAGATAGTTTGAATATTCGTATCTTCATGGGTCATTTATTGTATTCTAGGCATTGCTTCCCAATTCGTGTCACAATTATAAGTTTGATGGCCATTTTCTCAAGTAAACTCTACTTAGGGTGATCAAGGAATCCAACTTACATCTTGCTGTACCATTTCTACAGCTCCCACATCCAGAGAGAAACAGCTGGGGCGGGGCGGGAGGAAGAGGACCTTTTGTGCTACAGTTTTGGAAGCACATGCCTATGTATTCCTAATGTTATTGCCACCAATTTAATATTTTCTCCATCATTTAAAGATTGCTCCTTGTCTGTTGATAACTTCTTTACCATTGAGTTTTTCTCCTGGGTGGCATTTAAACTATATTTAAAACTTACATCTTGTTTATATACACTCTTGAGCCAGGGCCTTTGGTTTATAGGAAAGAATTTGCTGACCTCTCCTCCTCCCCACTAGAAAATGACTGAAGTTACACTAACTGCTTCTAGGACTGCATATTGTTGAACTCCTCAAAGGGCTGATACCACATGCAAAGCTTAGACCGCTTGGCTTTGCTTATGTTACAATCTGATGTATAAATCAGAGAGATTATAGAAATATTCTACATTTAGTCTGTGCATTTACATACCTAAACAATGTCTGATTAAAAATTAGGTGTGTAATTTGGGGGGAAAAGCTTAAATTTAGCAATATTTCATTCAGCAACACAGTGTTCTATTATATATGGGTATGCGTATATATGCACACCATATATATACATACATATATATACACATATATATACGGACACCCATAGTTACATGTATATATGATACACTTATAAACAATAAAACTGAGCAGTGAACTACTTTTCTTTATGAAAGAATTAAAAATACTGGACCTTCCGATGTCATCCAAAACTAATGGGACAAGAAGAAAAAATTAGACATTCATGGAATTAAAACATAGACATCTGGGTCTACCTAACTTACGCCCTGATCTTTACCAGGAAATGAATGATCACTTTGTATTTTATCTCCTGTAAAAGAGCATTATTTCCCCATGTTTTAGTATAAGATAGCCAAATAAGGGTATTTTTTTAATGCAAACCTGAATCTGAATTTGTACTGGTGAGGATTTTGATGTAATTATTCCCCAAAAGCACAATAAAAGATTTTTCATAACGGAGACAACACAAAAATTGACAAGACCTGTTTTCAATAACTAAATATTTTTGTGAAAAAAAATAAATGTATTCTGATTCAAGATCTTCATTTATCTTTAATGGCGCTTACAAATTTTCAAGTGCCACAATAAATTCAAATGAGCAAAATTACAGGGATTAAATTTTCTACAGTGTTTCCCAAATGTCACCCAAGGCAGTCATCATTTAACTATGAATCCGTTTTGAACTCATTTATATTTCAACTCATCCAATGTTTGGCAGTTAAAAGTAAACTGTACAAACAGCAAGCACACTGGCAGGCTTCACTGGGAAGCTGAGCGACAAACGTGTGATTAACACTATCTTATGGGCACAGGAGAGGTCTCCATTTTAATAGGATATCCAACAACATGACTAAATGCCTCCCAAAAATTTAGAATTAGAAATGCAAAGGTTAGATAAAGTTAAAGGTCATTCCCCTCCAGGCAAGAGGGGGCCAACTCCCTACCAAGTTCTAGCAGACTTGCTTCCCTAGGGCACATCATAAAAGTAATTTACTGACAACTCACCTTACCAGGGGTCATTTGGGGCCTCAAGTCTTCTGGAATTCACTTTTAAGAAGCATGATTAAGTGGGGACGACCACTGGCTCTAAAGTATTTATGCTGAGAACAAATGCCTGTCAGAATTAAATCCTTTGTGTGTGGTGGTTTCAGACTTAAAAAAGATGTGTGCCCTGATGAAAAGCACATATATTCTGTTCACCAAATTCAATCTTAGAATGAGTATTGGTTAATTGATTTATTAGATTCAAAAAAGAATACTCCAGAAAGCCAAATAGACAACATAGCCTAATAAAGTGGAGAATGCATTTACCAAGTTAGTTAAACCCTTTTCAATCTTTTCGAGTCCAGTGTTGTCTCACACTGAAGGAAAAGCATTTTCAAGTTATTTCCAGGAAAAATGAAGATGCTAATTTAAAGCAAGCCAAGAAAGTTGACTTACTTTAAAATTTTTCCAAGAAAAGCTATTTCCTGATTAAAACAAATCTCTTGCTTTTTGTGTTTTTGGTAATTCTGACATGAAATACTGGGTTTTACATTAGATAAAGATGCATTTTCCACATTAAAAAAATTACGAAAGGTTAAAATATGTGTGCATCGGACAAAATTAAAACAGATCATCTGACACTGCATGTGGGATACAGCTCTGATCTCTATGCTGCGTGGAAACGAGGCTGGTACTTTGAATTGCACAGCACACATCTCAGTAAGGGGATGAGGCATACGATTTCAAGGAACACCCACAATGAAAAGGATTCTTTCCAAACAGAGAATTGTTTTGGAATACGTCAGGTTAATTGGCACCATGGGACTGCTCTCAAGGAAACAGCACTGAAATCCTTACATGTGCAACTAAAATTATCAAGCGTGCATTACCCTCTTTGCCTTTTCAATTTTTCACGTCTAGTTTACTCTATCCACGACCAAATTAACTTTCGTAGATTCACAGGCAGGTAGAAAAGGAGATGGTTGTTTTGTTTCGTTTTGTTTTCCCCACCAGCATAGTTTACAGCCCCAAAAGACTGATTAGTTAAGGAGGTTCCATTGTCGAAACAAAGAAGAAACTCACTGAGGATATCTGGGAATATTCTATTTTAGTGAGTGAGTTATGGGTACTGTAGATGGAAGGTCATTATTTTGTCATTTAAATAGCTAGAAATTCCCTACAGCATTTGCATAGCCTCCTTCTTAGAGGGCCATAGTTTTGTATTCTGCCATTATTTTAATCCTGTCTGATTTAAGGATACCTGGATTTCGGTTTCTTATATACTAAACCCAAGTATAATTATCATTTTAAAAATAATCACCTGATCCCCTTCCTCTACTGATGTGTGAATTTCCCAAAGAGGAATGTGTGTGTGAATACACAACCAGTCTTAGTGGTGGTTACTATTTTCATGAATTATCATTCATGATTGGTATGGAGTGAGCCCTCTTTTTTATATTACCACAATTGCTATTTTTCTGTAACTTACAACCTTTCACTGGAGCCAATTAAATGTTCTATGTTGCTAATGTCCAGAGTTTCAAAATTTGCAACTTTAAAACTACAGGAAAGAAGGTATATATTTGGTAAACACCATGTGTAAAAATGCTTACATTTAATGGAGTAAATTTCTAAATACTCCTCCAAGTACTGACATGCTGAAGATTGGAAATGAAAGGAACCTCAGGTATTACTGATCCTCTGATTTTTACAGAGGAAAAATTGAGGCTCAAGTCAATGATTGGTCCAGGGGCACAAAGCACTTTCATAGCAGAGGTGGCACCGGAAGTCAGGATTCTTCCCCATGTCCCTGCTTCCACCCCTGTCCCGCCTAGCCCGCTATCTCTACATGGCAGCTACTGATCTTGTTTAAAAAGTTCAAGTCAAATCATGTCGCTCTTGTGTTCAGAATCCTCCAGTGATTCCCCATTTCATTCACCGTAAAAGCCAAAGACCTTAGGAGGACATGTAAGACCCTACATTATCTGATGCACACCTTCTACCCCCACCATCACCACACAGATGCTCAACTCTGCAATCTTATCTCCCAGGGTGACGCTCCTCTTCCTTCACTCAGCTCCGTACTGGTGTCTTCCCTAGCACACCAAGAACTGCCCACTTCAAGGTCATGATCTACTTTTACCTTCAAACTCAGGTTTGAAAATTTACCACCCTGTTATTCCTACACATTAAAGACATTATATTTCCATTAACTGAAATGTGAAGTCTCACTTTATGCTGAGTTAGGCAGCTTTTAAAAGTTTCACTGGAGTAACAGTGACCACACAGAAAGGCGAGGGCACCTGACAATGTGGCAGGGTGCCCAGTGGGCTCTGCATTGGGAGACACTGCCTGTGTTTCTGTATCGGTACGAAGGGGAGAAAAAACAAAAACAGAGTAAAGCAAAGTAAGCCCTACACCCTCTGAGCCCGAGCAAGTAGGGAGTTGCCATGCTGGGGTCACACTGATCGCTTCTCTTTACCATAATTTTCTTGGAAAGCGTTGGAGACTTGCACTGCTGTTTCACAGAATTTTAGAGATAGAAAAGACCTAAGGTATCATTTAGCCTAGTCCTCTGCTGTCAAAGATGAGGATGCAGAGATCCCAGAAGATTAAGCAGACTGCTCCAAATCACACAACCACGGGCAAACTCAGTGGATGAGTGCGGCCGCCACCCGGAGCTTAGTTCTCACACATAACCAACTAAGGTGGGACATTACAAGAAAGAGACACATGTGAGAACCAAGGCGTTGACAACTGATGCTGTTGCCAGAAATTTTAATAGTTATTTACAAGGGAAGAGGCTCACCTAGTTAGTGGTGCCTGTCAGACTTTTTTTGTTTGTTTTTCTTTCTTTGTTTCATTTGTTTACTTTTATGCAGAAGTTTTATATGTACTGACATTTAATCAAAGCCTAAATCTTAAGACACATACACACACACACATACATAGACACATGTGCACATGCACACACAGAGCCTTCTTTGGACAAGGAGATATTGTCTTTAGGTTGCAATTAAGGAACTTATGCAATTAACGAACTATGCCAACTATTGGGTAAATCTTTTTGGAGCTAGCTACATTACTGCAAGTCACAAAATCCTAACTAAGATCAGCCCCAGGGTGGTGTGTGTGGAAAACCTTGGCATAAATACATTATTAATGTCACAGGGTCAATCTGATCTTCCAAACCCCTGGAGATTTAAACAGAAGCTTTAATGGTGGTACAGAGCAAAACCACAGACTGGGTAAGAGGCAGAATGAGCTATGCGGCTTTTTCAACCTCAGGTCACAAGCTTGAGTCCAGTCTAGGCTGGTAATTGATAACTTATGACAGATGTTTGGTGACCTGTGTGTGGCGGGAGTCAGTTCAAGTTTTGTTTCACTTTTCCTGAACAGGTGTGTTCACATCCATCCACAAAGATATTTGCACTGTGGGAGTCTGATCACCAAATCTTTCATAGAAAGGCCAAGACTTTAATGGGAATTAAATTCGGTTATCTTTTTATCCCCTTAAGGGTTAGCACTTTCCGAATTTTTTCCCAACCTCAAGCATCTTCCATTCACACTGTGCACACAGTCTTTTTCTCTTTCTTTCTTTTCTTTTTTTTTTTTAAGGAATTCTTCAGAACAGTTTCAAACTACAGGCTAAGGGTTCTTAGAACAGATGTGTTTTCCCTAGTGAGAAATAGCCTGAGGACAAATGTCATTTTATTTAAGTTTGTGATCCATTTGGATCAAAGGTGCTTTAGGATAAGAGGCTGTTTCAGAAACAGCTTATTAGAAATAAAAAAAGAGAAGTAGAGAATTTAGTTACTCTTAAAGAGAAAGCCAGAATATTCAATATTTGAATATTTGGAAGGAACATTCATCTTTAAGATCTTTAAGATCTTTTGTCATAATGTTTTATTTTAATATAATAGCTTCCGTTTATTGGGTTCAGTTTTACAATCAGATTAAATAACTTCAATCACTAGCAATGATGGAATTAGTGTAGATCAAATTCATTGATGCTCCTTTTCTGTCCTTGTCCCACTACATAAATGTATGATGGAGTAATCAGCACATATTTTATCTTAAACAAATAATTATTTTTTAACAGATTTGCTGTAATTTGAAGTGTAGGCCTGTGAAACTGCACAACATTTTAAAATGAACGAATAAATGAATTTAAAATAAATTGAATATGGCAGGCCCAGATAGAGTAAAACGGAAATTCACTAGAAGAAGCATTCAAATTTTACCTCCTTTTAGATAGTAATTCCTGAAAGCCACTATGACTGTGTGTATTGTCACCTAGTATCACAAAGTCAAGCTGGGTTAGAAAACGACATGAGGAGAAAAAGATTTTCTCAAGGTTTTCCCATTATAATACGTTATAGAATGGTCTCAATAAACAGCATCTCCAAAGATGATTTTAATTTCTAGGCAGTGACTCATTTTTTCAAAATGTCCTCAGTTCTGGCCACTTTGATATTATGATAGTTCAACATAACTGCACACTTTCAGACTTAAAAAACAAAACTAAATGTCAATTGTTGAAAACCATGAATGAATACCATTAAGATGTATTATAGTAATTGATAATGTTTATTGTACATAAATATTATATATTGTATAAATAACTCTCTCTATATTTAGTTTATAAATATAAAAATGAAAGAAGACTGTTAAAAGCAAAATGCTGCATCAGCAAACTCCCCAAATTGGTCTTAGATAGGAAGACACAAATCAAACAAACATGCTTACAGATTTAGGAAGTTTTCTGTAAAGTATTGAGTTAATGTGATAGGAAAAGGGTCTACTGCAGCCCGGGGTCTGAGAGGGAGGAAGCTGAGGTCATTCCATTTATATACTCTTGCACCTGATCTCCTGCACATTTCGTGAGAAATTAACTGATGTCTGTTGTGTTGTTTAATTTTGAAACCTTCCTTCAAACTTCTCCCTTCCCTGATTTCCTAGGACAGTTTTACTGACCTGTCTTTAAACAAAAATATTTTGTTGAGTAGAACACTCTTTGTATTATGACCTTACATGTTAATTTTACAGCAACTTTGCTCAATTGCTCCCCACCCAAATCCTGAGATTCTAAATCTGTGCTTTGAGCAATAGTGGCTAGTGGGCAAAAATATATGCCTTCTTAGTTTTCAGTCTCAGTGTATTTCCTTTGCAAATCCTACAATTTATTAACTCTATGGCAGAGTGACACAAACCATGGTCCAAAATAAACACACAAAAAGACCTACATTACTATAATATCCAGGTTGAGAAAAACTACTCTGAAAGCAAGGAAATGCTGATGAAAGCTTGCTGCTGTACTCTTGGGTCAGCTGCTTTGTGCTTAATCATGGTGAGGCATGTGCTCTGAGACACTCCAGAACTGGGGATTTTTGCATCATGAGGTAGGTAGCAACGCCCCACACCTAATGCCAAAAGGTGATGATGTAAAAATGAAGATGTTTTCTTCCTCTGTATATATATTTAAATAAAAACAGATTCTAGGTTTCACATTTTGAATGGAAGAAAATCCACATACATACATACATCAGTATAACTTTGTTTCCAATGGACTGCCATATAATTTTGGTGCAAACTCGAACACTATCATAGAATCTCCATAAATTATCATCCAATCTCATATTAAGGGGGGTTGTTAAATACCAGGGAGTGTAGCTAAGTGGCCACTGGAGCTGGTGAGTCATTTCATGTCAGTATGACAGATGATGGTAACAGCGAATGCTTACAAAGTACTTTGGATTCATGTGAGATTGTGCCTGTAAATGGTAGGTGCAACCTTTTATTATCTCCAGTCTACAGATGAAGACCCCTAGCCTAGAGGTTAAATAACTCGCCCAGGGTCAGAGAACCCGCACATGGTGTCGACACAGTGACTAGAAGCCAAGTCTCTCTGCCTGACGCTAGATCTAAGCCCTCAGCCTCCTCACCGTCCTACCGGACAGGATGAGCAGCACCTGAGCATGCCTACATCCCGTCACCAGTCTCTGCTTCTTGAACATTCATGCTCCCAGCCTCTCCTCCTGTGCAGTGCTGCCAGTCAGAAGCACAGAGCGGCAGAGCCCCGTGGTGGAGGGCAGGGCGTCCGACAACTGCCTAGGAGATCCAGCTCTGGTACTGGCTAACGGTGTTCTCTTGGGCAGTTCCCTTAACTTCTGGGCCTCAGTCTTCTCATCTGTGAAATGGGATATTCACACCTGCCTCACTGGGTGACTGGAAGGATTACAGAGGTACTTTAGTTAATGGCTTAAGAAAGCAAATGCTTAAATAATGGTGGTTATAATTAGTAAGAAAGCAGATTAGAGCATCCTTGCTAACATCATGGCTGCCTTGAAGACTATATATAGTACTGGGAAAGAAAAGCTATTGAATGTCTCTAAAAGGGAGTGCTGTGCTACTTTGTATAATACAGAGATAGTTTTCTGACACCTGGGATTTCCTTTTCACTAGATAATAGAGCCACTGGAGAGCCGCGCCAACTCATGTTACCAACAACTCTCCCCTTTTCCCTTTCTAGTCAGAAACCGCGAGGTGGTGGCTGTCGGGTCCAGACAGATGCGATTTAAAGGTGGTAGAGACCTTCTGTAGGGTCCAGATTTCTCGGTTTTTCGCTTGTTTTAAATGATTACCATAGGGCTTCTGAGATTTATAGACTCTATTTCCTTTGCCCTTCAAGTCTTAGATAAATATAAAGACATTCACATAAAAACTTTCCTCACCTCAGCTGTGACTTATGGGACCTAAAACATAGGAGAAAGCCGGTCTTTACTCAACCAGAGGGACCTTACATTCTCCATGTCTGCTTCAGTCAAAAAACGATGCATGCTAGAGAGTGACTTATAGATTAAACTGGCTCATACTACAGAGATATAGCATACCTCTGTCCATTTATATTTATTAAAATGTTTTATCAATAGTATTGCAAATGCCAAAATAAAGAAGTAAGAGCAGCAGAAATGAAATTAATTTAACCAAACAGAAAATTACACCAAGATTATTTCCCATGACCTAGGGACTTTTTGCTTCACACACAAAAAATGATTTCCCTGTGGACAGTCACAGTAGATTTAAAATGAGATTAGACTTATTTAAAAATTGAAAAGAACATTTTTACACAGTACAGGGCATTTTGATGTAGTGTCAGCAACACTCAATAAAATAAAGACAGTTGGATTTAATACCATATCATTACTACCTTGATATAAAAAATAACTGCAGTAAAATTTTTTACTTGGGGATCTACATGTTAATGGTTTGGAACCAGAATTTTAAACTACCCAAAAAAGAAGGCATGTAGAAGTTTTTATTTGGGGGAAAACTATTCCATTAACTTTCTACCACTTTTAGAATGAATTTAGCTAACAGCTATTTCCACCACTACAGAAATTCTCTTTTAGATATTTAATAACTTGTAATGCAGTAATTTGATAGGTCAAAAACTTTCAAATATAGTAGTCACTATCTGCAAATCCCAAACTCCCAACTTATTCCTCCACCCTCCAATATCCTCCCCCAGGCATCCACAAGTTTGTTTTCTATGTCTGTGAGTCTGTTCGGAATTTGCAGATACTAACAACTGTATATAAAGCAGATAAACAACAAGGCCCTACTGTACAGCACAGGGAACTATATCCAATATCTTGTAATAACCTATAATGAAAAAGAGTATGAAAAGTTATACATATATAACTGAATCACAATGCTGTATACCAGAAATTAATATAACATTGTAAACCGACCATACTTCAATAAAAATATATTAAAAAAAAACCTAAAAAAGTCATGTATACAAAACATTCCAGAATGGTGATTCTTCTATTGTAATGTTTAGTAACTATATTAAATAAATGTTGCTGCTTTCTTTCAACTGAACACACCTCCTTTCAACCCAAAGGATGCTTAAATCAAAGGATGCTTAAAAGCAGAGTTCTAACAATTTTATGAGAAAGCATTTGATATGCAACACAATCATCACCATATGTGTGTGTGTGCTGTTTCCAAGACCACTTTTGCAAAGCACATGGCTTCTCATTTATGCTCTGACTCATTTCACTTAAACAAAAATACACTAACACTTCACGGGCTGCCTGCCATACGACCGCCAGTTAAAGACAGAGGGAAACGCAAAAGGTAAGGTCTCTGACAAACTTCAGAAAACGGGGACGTCAACCCCAGTGGGCTGCTGAGCACTTACATTTCACCAAACTTTCGCTGCTTATAATTATGCATGTGATTTACAAGCCTGTGAAATCAGAGGCTGCCCGGTCAGGTCCTGCCCCGGCGCACCCTGCATCCTCCTCCACATGCTTCTGTGGCTCCTGGGTGCCGGGGCCACAGTCTCTCAAGAGCCCCATGTCAATGGGCTCACTCACCCGGACAATCAGCAGCTTCCAGCCTTATGTCCTCTCCTCCCCTGGTAAAAGGACTGCTTCGAAAAGCATCCTTTGAAATGAGGATGCAAGGAGATAGAGAGGGACGGGGTGCAGGCACACTTGTTCCAATGACAGACAAATCTTTAGCTCTGTCTGCTGCGTGCTGCTGTGGGTGTAAGCCCCTAGGTCCTCCAATCCCCCACAAGGACAGTGTGTGTTCCCCGGGGAGGGGAGGACCCTGGAGATGACAGGTGCAGGCTTGTCCTGACTGCTGCACACATGCAAAGCTAAGGCTGACTTTCAGATCCTCGGTGGCCAGGGGAAGTTTGGTAAAATTACAGTAGAGTAACTTCCAGTGTCCTTGTCATTTTTTTAACAAGTGTTTTTAGATTTAATAGCAAAAACTACATATTTTAGGAACAGGAATGAGAACAGTTTTGCCAACTAGCTGAATATCCGATTCCCAAAGGGAACAAAAATGGAGAAAAAAAAAACAAACCACACAGGGTTAAGCAATTGTCCAATTAGAAATAACTGTTGAGATTTTTAAATGTCATTTTTCAAAACTTTATATCAAGACTCTTACACCGCTGCCAGAGTTAACTCATCTTGCTCAAAGCAGACAAGGAACATGTGTAGGTCAAGTAAATGACACAATGTACAGGGCAGTGACAACTGGTGTCCAGCTGTTTGCTCCCAGTGGTCATCTCAATAGTAGAATTGGGGCGGAGACTGGGCAGAGAAAATGTGTCTCATTCCTTGTTCAGGTGACCCAGGGGTTTGGTTATGCACTGAAATCACCTGAAAAACATACCAATGCCTGGGTCCCAACTCCAGATACTCTGATTTAATTTGGACAGTGGGATTTTTAAAGGCTCCCAAGCAATTCTACTGTGCAGCCATCCTGGAAAACCACTGGTCTATCATTCCCAGGGGCCTCACATAAATGAGGCTGGTTCTAGGACTTGCCAGAAGTGCTGACTCTAAATTCAGGTATAAGCTCAATTTAAAAATTCCGAATCACCTTGGAAATGTTCCTCTTTGGGATAAAACAACATCAACCACAAACAAGGTTCATGTCCCTCACCCCCCCACCACACATACACAATGAAGATTTTAAAGTCTGCTCACCAGTTGGACACTTGAGCCATTTTTCATAGTGTCAGTACTACTGGCCAGCTTGCTCAATGAACTAACAAGTGGTCAGCTTGTTCAGTGTCACCAACGATCTAGCAAACCACTACCTAGTTTCAAAACATATTTCTGACTCACTCTTGGCAATTTCACAAAGCTCCATCTTCGAGGATTTGAGCTGTTGGGAATGGAATCACCTTTTCCTAAATGAAATGGCCATTTAAATTCATACGGCACAGAAGTTACTCCATTAATCCAACTCCACGGTTCATTTCCGATAGCAAAAAGAAGTTAATTCCTTACTGGTGCTTTGCATTTTCACTTGTAATTTTCCTAAGTGAAACAATACACACACAGGGTACTGAAATCTCCTACAATACAGGCAGGAGAATTTGGGTGTTTAAAAAAAGACACTATATTTTTAGCTTCAGTCAGGATCCATTTGGGGAGGGGTTGTCCAACTTCCCTATATGATTGGCTCTTTGCTGGAGATATAAGAATCAGGGCTGGTAGAGGTTTAAGGAGATTCACCAAGTCCAGCTCTTTGCCACGAAAGGGTCAGTCCTTTAGCAGGTGACAGAAATCACTGTCAATTCTTAATTGACAGTAAGCAGAAAAGGAATTCCAGATTCCCTTATAACCAGCACTAGCTTTCAGAAAGTCTCATAATCAAAGAATTCTTCTTTATGTCTGATTAAATATACTCATACTGATCATTCATTAATATCATGGTGGGATCACCACTGTAGTTTGTACTATATTCATTTCAAACATACGAAGGTTGGGTTTAGTATACGTTAATTCCATGCTTTGAGTACTGCAGTCAATACTTTGGTCTATTAAAATAGCTTTATCCCTTTCCTCTTAGAATTTTAAAACTGAAAGAATAGAGAAGTGATATGCATAATAATTTATGAAAATTCCTATTTGCATTATCCATGCAAAATGATCACCGATGAACACAGAACACCACCGTGAACACACTAACATTTCAAATATCAAGAAGCCCAAAAAATTACTATGAAATAGCTGTGATGATGTCTTCACTTCAGAAGTCTCAAAGGGGCATACCACAGAAATCAATGGTAAAATCAGCTCATGAGTGGGTTGGTATCTGCCTCATCAAACCAACGGTAGCCACTTCTAACACTGCCAATCCATGACTTGTGACAGGAGTTCCTCAGAGACTGGGCTAAAGGCCAGTTGCTGTGTTACCTATTTGAGGTGGTGAGGATGTGATCCTGTTACCCACCATAAGGTACACACTCAAAAATCCATGTGATAGATTCCTATCTTATTCACATCACTAGTGTCAAATTCTAAGGGAATCCAAAACACGCACTTTAAAATACATCATTTTAGGTAACTCTACATACGTAGAGTTTGTATTCTACATATGTGGGAGAATGGAGTTGGAAGTTTATTTTAAGCTCCAGAAGCCCTGCAGTTCTGCTAGGAAAGGAAGGTCAAAAGAGGTTCGGCAGAATCACAGCACTGCCGTCATTTGGTCTGTTACAGGCTTACCGCACAATGAAATGCCTCAACCTCAGAGAAGATAAATTTTCATTCAATAATCCCAGTGAATGGGCATAAATGAAAAAAAAAAACCAGAGGGATTCTGAAATTACTCTAATCAGAAGAGAGGCATTCTTTAGGCAGTTAAATTGAAGTAGAAACAAGAGCAACGGTTTTTACTTCACACAACAAAATCTTGGAGTATTCTGAGCCCATTTCTTTCACCTACATTTTATCATATATATATTTTAGCACCAACGTTTTAAGTAAAATAGTATTTGAAAACTCTGTATTATTCTTTCAAATGCTCAGAGATCTAGTATATTTCGGAGTAAACTGGCATTGCGGATCATGGTATATATCCTTCAACTTAATGATGCTCTTTCTGTTAGTGAATTTTGAAGAAATCATCCACGATCAGGCTAAATAATATATATAAGAATGATAAATAACATTACATACAATGATAAAAAGAGAAAATACTATGGTCAGCCTAAATATCTCACAATAAGGAAGTGGAATACTCAAAAGAGATGGAAAAAAGCTAAGTTTTTGAGAAAAGCTTCCCAATCTGCTAGCATACGCATGACATATTGGGAGGTGAAAAGAGAAAGCTAAAAAGATATATCTAAGGTTTGATTTCAATTTTATCTTAAAGCTTCTTCGGAAAAAAGCTACAGGAAAACACATTCTGTATTTCCACGTTTATTAGTATGGACCTTTATGACCTTTGTAGTCAGGAAAAATTTATTGAATTTTAATATAAAAACTGGAAGAAAGTGTATTGAAATGTTAAGTCATCTTCTTTAATTGATGGGATTATAGGCGATGATTTTTAAATACTTTCCCAATGTTTCCTTCCACAGAGAGCATGTTTAACTTTCACGGAAAGAAAACCACACTTCCAGCGGGTGACGCGCTTGCTGCTGCATCTTTACCCTTTGCTCCTGAGGTACCACTGGCAGCTAGTTATCCGAACCCATGTCAGAATGTATTTATTGAACTCTGATGTGCAAAACACTAACGCTTCCCTGTAAGAGACTTTCAATTATTTGCTGTGAACTGTAATGAAAAATTTGATTGGGAGAAAGTGGAAACTACTGATTTAAACAGCTTTCCCAAATGATCTGTGTCTTGATGCCGAAGTCCTTTTCCTCAAAGGCCCACAAGTACCACAAGGTACTTCTCTTACTACGCAGTACATCTGGGTGATGCTGTCACCATGTGACCTTGAGGTTGGGTGGCCCCAACAACAGGCATTCTCTGTACTCTAATTTAAAGTCATCGTAATTATTTTACAGGGTAGGTACTGAACAGATGGGCATCAGGAGTATATTCATATTTTTTTCTGATTTGTTTCTTCTGGTTCTGATGTTCTCACCTTTGAGTAGAACTCCACAAAGCCAGGAAGAGCTTATCTCTATATGAATAGAAGAGTAGAAATGCTCCTTTGATTTTGTTTCTAGTTTAGAAATGAAAACGATGACCAGTTCTTTCCAAATCATACCATTAATCTGCTTCATTCTAAAACTGTCATGAACTGTCAAATGTCTTAGCTTCAGAACACCAGTTTGTCTTACAGCTTAGTAATGCTAAATACTGTACCATGTTACTCTATTGCAAAACAAAAGACAACGATTTTATTGATATCCCTACTAGATTATTTAACATAAGAATTCAAATTGGAGAAGTGGGAAAGAAGGCAATAAATGTGCTTGTATATTATAAAAGTGGCTAGTTATAGATAAAAATATTTGACTTACCTGTAAAAATATTGTTGAAGGAAGTAGTAGCGTTTTTAATGACACAGACTCAAACAGATGCAGTAAAAGAATGATTGGCAATTGCCAAAATAATCAAAAGACCTCTTTGTTTCTGCTAGCAAATGTTGATACACGATTCTAAGTATTATGCCTGTTAGACAATATTTAAACAAATACTTTATAAAAGCAAGACTTATTTTTAAATATGTAAATTACATGGGAAAACCATGTCAAAATAGCAATCTGATTGCATGGCTTAATAGCCACCAAAAACCATTAAAAATGTAATGTCACCACCCTGATTTAGTTGTCATAATTATTGTTCCCTTATGTTGTCTCCTTATTTGCTCCTATATTCTTTTTTTTATTACAAACAAGTACCTTTAGTGAGGATAACACTAAAATAAAATTAACATAGCCAGAGCAAAGATAAATAAAATTTAAAAAGCCAACCTTTATTCCACTTTGAACAAGTTTGTGAATGTCCAAATAAGGCTCCTTGAAAATTTCTCCTTCGGGGGTAAGGATCTTCACGTAACCTTCTTTTTCCAGAATGAAGAGACGGTGTGAGCCATCCCCGCTATGCAGGGCGCTGACAGGCTGGCGCAGCCCACTCACAACCTCCTGAATACAGAAGCAGTTGTGTTTGTGCTTTCTAAACAAATTAAAGAAAACCAGTAAGCGTTTCTTGAGATGATGGAGGTAAGGGATGCACTCAGCATCCTCTTCAAAATACATTTCCTCTAGGAATCAATGGTTTTGAGGGTCAGGATGGGCTGCTAACCCAAGGACACAATGATTCTTTTCAATGGGGTGAAAAAAAAGCCTTCTATCAGAAAGTAAAGGAGGGACTCAAAACACATAAGTAACAGGGTGGGCGTACAGTTCAGTGGTAGAGCGCATGCCTAGCATGCACAAGGTCCTGGGTTCAATCTCCAGTACCTCCATTAAGGAAATAATTAAGTAAACCTAATTACCTCCCCCTGCAAAAAAATAAATAAAATAAATGAACAACAACAAGAAAACGAAAACACACAGGTATTTTAAAATTTCACAAGCTCACGATCTCATCTTTCAGTGACTATTAATTAATATTAGCTTTACTCACATTAATTACTGTGATTTAATTAAACCTTACAGAAGGGCCCTCAGAGAGAAAGTGCTAAGATCTATTTCTAAAACTCTGATTTGCTAACGATCATTGTGCTGAATATTCCCACAGCAGCATGAGCTGACAACAGTCATAAAATTCAAGTTTAAAATGACAGTCATAAAATTCCCATGAATCTCAGAGAAGCCAAGCTCATAATAGAAGATTGGTAGTCTCAGCATTGAAAGCATTTAAGGGAATATGATTTTAGAGACGCAAACTACCAAAAAAAAAAAAAAAAAGCATCTGGCGGCTATGGCTGCTGGATGTGAGCACAGCCAGTTGACTCAGCGTCAAAACCACAAGCCTTCTCAGTTTTGGTTTGTTTTTTTTTTAAGATTAAAGAACATTTATCTTTATGAACCTGCTGATCTCTTCCACTTTGTCGTATTCTTCCATCTGGTCCAAGGAGTTAGATGCTGGTCCTCTGACTTGTTTTCTTGGAAAATCTGGAAAGCACAAGCCACCGTCTTTTCTTGCATAGTAAAAGCAAAATTCATCAGCAGTAGTTTGAAGGAAACCTTTAAAAAAAAAAATGTAAGAAGACTCATTAGAAATATTTAGTGTCATAGTAAAAACACTGGATTTGAAAGACAAAATAAAGGGTAAGAAATTTTTAGGAACTATATGAATATTCTAGGAAAATATATAGACAAAAATAAAAGAACAATTTTTTTTAGCTTGGGATTTCTATTCCTTTTTTAACCAAAATTTAAGAATTGTAGTAAAAGTGAAATGATTTTGTGTTGCAGATCTTAAAAGGCTCCTATGAAATAGACCTGATAGGAATCCAGCATTAATCTCGTTATTGCATTGATTCTATTTTCAAGTTTCCCCAGTTACCGTACTTTGCACTTTCCAGCTTATCTGATGACAATTTAGCAATTTTTCCCTACAGTTACTAGTAACTTCCTAAGAAGAACAAATCACCATCAAGAAAGAGACAGACCATCAGGAGCCAGTCTGGGTCACTTTAAAATTCTTATTGTACTGTCACTCACATATGATTAAATAATGAATCTGATGAACAGCACCAGGTCATTACATGGTGTAGCAAATGACTGACGCCTTGCAATAAGCAAGCAAGGAACTGATGCTAACAACAGAGCCTCCATTTTCAAAAACATAAGTGCCTTTTTCTTGCACCTCACTTATAGGAGAGAGTGTCTATTTTGTAATATAAAAATCTTTAAAATAGCCTTTCAATTTTCTCAAGCAGAAGAGCTGACATACTACCCCTCACTGAAAAAAAATTAAACTTAGCTAAAATGAAAATGTGGAGCAGACTTAAACTTCAAGGGATCTGAAAGAAAGACCTTTTTTTTTCCGTTTCTTACAATTAAGAATTTTATCAAATAAAAAGTTTAATAACAAAAGAGACTCATTACAAAAAAGCCTTTTGACATTACTTTTACAGTTTGAGTTAACAGGTGTTTTTTTGGGGGGAGGTATGTTAAATTAATAAGATTCACTTCCCTATTCTGATAATGATTTTGCTATTAAAATATGATGATGCTATCAGAGTTGACTTTTTATGATGTCCCAAATTCCTACTTCTGGTCTCATACCTTTAGTTATGCTGAACGTTTTGATTTTTACCTAACAAATCAGATTATTACTCCTAATCAGTTCTGCAATAAAAGCATCTAGTAACTGAAAGTTTAGAAGTTGTAGAACATCCAAGTTTGCAAGGATTGGCAAGAACAAGAATTTGAGGACAACCAAGGGAGGCTTAACAACAGAACATGAAAACACTATAAAGTTTATTTTCTGTGAGCTTGACCTAGATCCCCTCAAACCTAAAACCAATCTTAGAATCTGAGAGTCCAAAATGGTTAAAACATAATATACATTTTGACCTAACTTTTGGGTTAAATGTGTCACCCCTAAATTTCTGAGACAGACTCCTCTTCAAGCCCAATATCCGACTAAGCTATTGGGAAATGTTCTGTCTTTGGGAAGCAGGCAAGTAAGAGCCAATGTCCTTGGGAGTGTGTGTGCGTGTGTGTTTTAAGGGAGCAGAACAAGGAGGCATGGCAGCTGGGAAGGGTGCTCCCTCGGAGGGGCAAGGCAGCTGGAAGGAGGTTATCTTTCTTAGAAAAAATTCAGGGATTAGAAATTGGGGAGAGGAAAGAAGGCTGCAACGGCATTTACTCATCTTCAGCAATTCGCTGTTGGCAAAAGATAACTTTTCTCCTCCATTCTTCAATGGCTAAGCATCAGATGAAAATTGCCCAGCAGTGTTAAATAATTTTGTTTGAGGTAAAAAGAAGAGAAGGAAAACTGAGTTGCTGAATTGAACTTTTCACAGTTTGGGGCTAGATGTTTTATGTATACATATATATAAATATACATATATTTACCATCAGGCAGGAAGCTCTCCATACCAATACAATGTGTGCAGGAAGACTGTCATACTATGGATATATTTATAACTGCATGTGTGAAGGAGAAATTTTGTTTTCATGTGATGTTTGCCTGCAGGGGTCACAGAAAAATTTCAAAGTGCAACCCAGAAGACATTTCAAGTCTGCTTTTCAAAAAAATAATCTGTTTTCCAGCATTACAGTCTGCAAACTAATACCATCTTACAGGGAAATGAATGAACAATGCCAGTGGCTGATTCTATTTTATAAGGAATTATTAGCTGGGGACAAACATGAGGAAATGGGAAATCATTTTCAAATGGAACATCTGAAGATGAATGAGCGCAGATTCATAAACTCTGTCGCTCCAGAGGTACTGTGCTCTCTTAGCAAATTAAACAAAACCACATCAGAATGTTAACAATGATTTACTGCAAGCTTTTTACAGTATCTAGACAAATGGCACAATCTAAGTGGGAAGGAAGGAGCCAACTCAGAAGAACTTTACATAAAAATATGGGCATTTTTCTGATAATCAGGATATTTGAATCTAAATGTCTAATACTTTTATTAGTACTTTATCTTAAATGATCGAATTTTATAGACAGTGATAAGTAAGATATATTTTTCTGTGAAGAGCTAAAAGAGATATGGTTTCAGGACACTGGGCTAACATTTATCGTCAAGAAAGATATAATTTACCAAATGGTACCCTTCTGTTTGGAAGGAAACACTGAAGGGCATTTTACTGAAGGTGACTGTTGAGCTCACCCTGAATCATCTTAATACGATCAAGTCTACTATGGATGGAAGTACACTGATGATTCCAGTGGCTGTAATTTTTTTTATAGCTCCTGATAATTTATCAAATATTTTGAAACTGTAATAACTCTTCTCCAAGATCATGAACCCAGTCCTGCTATACCACAAAGCACCCTATAAACTACTGACATGTAAACAAATATTCTCTCTGTGGAGTTTGCTAAGTTCTAGCTTTTCTCTGAGCACGTATGCTAGAGGAAAGTTATTTTTCCTCATTATATATGCTGTTCATGACGATAAGGCAAAAAAAAAATGAAAACTACACAAAATCCCATCATCTGTAAGGCCTGCACTCGAGAGCATTTTCTAGCAGAGGGGGTGGCCTGGGGGCTATTCCTGGGGGGTTTCACCCATTCGCTCTGGCTTGCTTTCTTGGGGACTAATGAGACACGTGGGTAAGATAGCGGACTGGGGTTGGGAGTGGCTGTGGACTCGAGAAACTCGGTGGAATCTAATCCTTGACCGTGGCCTCTTTAGCAACAGGATTAAACCAACCGAACTAATTGTGTACAGACATGTCGCACTACAGTAACCTACAGCTGAGAGAGGACAGACCAAGAGTGATAAAAATCATTATAACGAATGGAAAAAAAAAAGCAAGGCCCAGCAATGTCCTTTCATATGCCATTTGCACAGAGCTTACTGGGCCATCCTGCAGTCAGCAGGAGAGCATCTCCGCTGTTCACTGCAATTCAGGCCCAAGATGAGACCCCCTGAGAAAGGAGCTCCTATGGATTTTTAGTGTAATTTTGGTACTTTTAGAAGTTTTAAGAATTTATCTCCCTAAGTAAATGCACCACTGGGAATATGATGATTAATAAAACTCTAGTGTATCTTCTCTGTAGTGATTTTTAACATCTTTTTTTTTTTTCCATTTTTGTGGAAGTAAGCAGACCATGAATCTTTCTGAATTGAAGCCCCTAGAAAGTAGCTACCTTTCAGGTATATGTGTATCCCAACGTGAGTGACACTTTCTTAAAGCCATGAGGGTGATGCAAACAAATAGATCATTTACGTACTTAATTCTTTATGTATTGGGCAATGGGGAAGAAATGAAAATGTTTCTGGAATTATCTTTCTTTCAACCCCTTTCAGCATTTGCCTTCTCTTAGCAAACTACAACCCTTTAGCTCCCTTCCTCTTCATGTTTTTGATTTGCAGAAAGATGAGGCTAATAATGAGAATAGTAAAAATGATATATATATATATATATGTATATATATATATATATATATATATGAATCACAAAGTAGCTGTTTTTCACAATTTTGAACTTTAGAGAAAAACCAACCATGTCACTAAATAGACGTAAGAAGGTGAAACTGTAGCAAATGTGCTTTTTGAGCAATTTCTGAAAAATGAGTGTTCTAGAATTCTAAAGAGACTTCTGAGCTGGGCCGAGGGGAAGATGATCGCCTCTTATCCATCATATTTTAGGAAACAGTAACCTACGGGCCAAGGACCGGTCTGGCTAACAAACTGATCCACGTCAGTAACACGAAGAGCGTGTTATTACAGCTCACATTGGGGACAAGTATTTAGAGCGATTATTAGCGAGTGATGGATGCCAAGGAAGCCCCTCTGCTCCGTGCTACAGCCGGCTGGCCTGGCCCTGGAAAGCACCCTCGCTGCTCCATCCACTGCTGGAGTGGAGATTTCATCTGGTTATCTTTCAAGGCAGCCTGGGTGGCCACCAAAAGCACTTGACATCTTGATGAACTTCAGCAGTTTTACATATATACAAACCCTGGAGAAAAATAAATTTGTCATTCGTCACCACATCTGTTGATCTGGGGAGCGAGGTGCTCGCGGTTCTGGCTCCTGAGCTGTTTGCTGTGCTTTTCAGTAGATATTGCCTTTTTTTGTTGTTGGTTTTGGAAGCTAAAATAACATCAAATAGAGGAAGACTCCCATAGGTGAGTACCCAGATCCAGCCTAGTGATATTTATCTCAAGTCGATAAAGGCAGATAAAGATGCTGAGTGTCAATATCACTTCGAATTTATAGTGGTAAAGGCATACCTTCCAGACTGGAAATTTGCAGCAGATCTTTCTGGGACCTAATCTGTTATCGCTTCTCGGCAGGCCATCTAGGCAACCGTGACCTATTCTACTTTGCTTTGGGGAATGTGATAAAGAGGAAGAAACAGCTGGTTTAAGGAAAGCCTTAGAAACAAGGCTGTAGTTTATAAAGACAATAATAATATTTTCACATTGAATGGGTTTAGATACATGTTATGGTACACCAAACGAAGCCAGCAACCCTAGTCAAAATGTTTTCTTAGGCTATTAAGAAAGCTCTATTAAAAAAAAAAAATACAGGAATCTACACTTTTCTGGGTCAGAGAAAAAAGTAAAATGTGCATAGCAGTTAAAAAAAATTCTTCAAGTGCATCCTACATTCTTAAAGCTTGCCTTTTACTTCAGTGCCATTGAGTTTTATAAACTGCTAGCTTCAGTAAATTTGTTTGTGTGTGACTCTGTCTAACTAAACAGAATCTGTTTTGTTAAATTCTTTTCTATCTCTGTGTTCATTCTTCCAATGAAAGAAACAACCACCGAGGTTTATAAACTTCTGATGGTAGAATTAATCAATGACCAAGAACTTATATGTTTATTAGGGTCCAAAATATGATAGTGACCAGGCATATTTGGGACACCATAGCCTAAGAACTTCATCTTGCCCATGACTTTCTCATTGTACAACTTTGTTTAAGGCATTCAGCTTCTCCTGAGGTTCAGTTTTCTTCATCTGTCAAATGGAAGATTCCACCTTGAGGAGCAAATCAATCATTATATGTGAAAATACTTTGTAAGATGTTATTTTTGGGGGGATTTTGAATTATATTTTATTTTAGGAAATAGCTTAAAAGTTAGTGGACAATCTGTACTTATGTCTCAGCTGGGAAGAAGGGGAGGCTGTCTTGATATTGACACTGATGGATAAAGAAGAAATCAGAAAGAAATTTGTACTGATAACCCAGCGTGTGTAAAGATTACCACCCATATTATTGGTTTAACAAGAAATGTAAGCCATTTCAGCAAAACAATGCACTGTTTGTGGGCTCAAATGATAATAATCCTTTTGGCAGCAGTAAAAAGTTGTAAGTTTGAAAAGGGTAATTTTGAGGCAAGAATAGGTATTTTGAATGGCGAGATAAATTTTACACTCTTGTAAGCCAGCATTTAGAAACAGGTATCTTGGAGGGATATTCTGCAGTAGTTAATTTAATTTATGCATTTTTTTTTTTACCTGGAATATGGCCTCGGCAAGTATAAAAGAATTCTTTGCAATAGTCTTTGCAGAGCAGGGGAAGTGCCAGGTCTCTTTCCAAGGCTTCTCTGTCAGGTGAGTGGAACAGGCTCTGAGAATATGGAGAGCAAAGTGCACATCTGATTTCCTCCAGTAACTTCCCGCATTCTGTGTTGTTGGCAACAGAAAATATCTAAAAGCCAAAAAATCAGAAACAAGCTTCTTAGTTAGTTTTTTTGTTGTTGTTGTTGTTTTTTGGTCATCATGGAAGGAGAAAAGTGCAATTTAGCTAATGCAGTTGTCTGCAAAGAATCACCATGTCACAGTACAGAGTGCTTTGTAAGGACATACGCGCGGTCTCGTGGGTTGGGATGGGAGAGTAAAGGGTAGGGGTACAAACCTGCTTCCTACTCCTGTAAGTCAGTCTCTTTATCTGTCTTTCAGGTGTGAAAAATTATATGATAATTCTACTTAGACCCTTTAACCCTTTATCACTTTACTCTGCCTCAAAGCGTGTACCCACTGGTATTGAACTTTAAAACTCCAAATACCTTTATCCAACTGTATGCAAAGCAGAACTTTTTAAGACACGGTTTATCTGTGCCTTGGGTAAAAATCTATTTCACTCCTGAAATTCTTAAAGCCATTCTCAAAGATGTTACTTGAATTACAGTGTCCTAATTTTAATTAATTTTTAATCTACAGATTGCATAGGGAAGGTTTTCTACAGTGGGGGAACAATCTCCTTTTCATGTTCTACAAAAATAAGAACTGAAGCTGAGTCAAACAGGTTTAAGACCAACTTTTATTATTCATTATACTTAGCCAGGGAAAATTTTCTAACTAGCTCCTCAGTTATGTTATCTGCATGAATAAACACAAGCGTCTAATGAAAGTGCTTTTGTATTGCATTCAGTGAGTTTTAATGAAAAAAGGGCACATTTTTATCCTTGTTTATACAGTAGTATGTCTTTCATATCAATAAGATCAATTTGGGAGTTACTGATCCATTGAGATTACTCATTTATAGATAAATCAGGTCTCAATGTCTAGTACTAACTTCAAAAAACTGACTTCAGGACCTCCTCTAATAAACAGAGAAGACAATAATAGTACAATATTTGAGACATGAAATGTAGTGTTGTCTAAATCAAGCACTGAGTTTTCATATTAAAAAACACCATGATGAGATTAAATTTTATATGTTTTCCTCAATTTATATAACTATGTTTATACTTAATTATTTCTTTAGAACTACAAGCTGAAATGAACATTTTTAAACTCTAGATCATTGCTTAAAGCAGATATTTCATTCGCAAGTTGAGGTTTTAATTTGAGTAGACTGAGTAAATCATATGGCTTCCAGTTTTGAGGATAAAGATATTCTGCGGGGATCACAAAATTTGGATCTGAAAGAGTAAAACAACTAAAAAAATTCACTGAAGTCAAGGCACACTGAAATTTGGGCATACAGTACTTAAAAGTCCAATAGGAATTACCCTATTTTGGAAAAAAATATGTGTGTGTGTATGTGTGTGTATATATAAAATATATGATGAGTTGTAACTATGATATTCAGAAAAGTTATTATTAATCACAATTATGTCTGCATTTTGATGTTTATCAATTTATTTGAATAAAAATTGCATAAATGGTTAAAGTTTTCTAAAAGGAAACATACACCAGACACTTAGAATTTGCATTCCAAGAATGTTTTAAATATCTTTTATTGTCCACACTCTGGCAGACTTCACCAGATTCTATTTGATATGAATACCGTTCAACTGTGTTCTGTTTGTTTATCATGCGGCAGTCCACTGAGAACAAAACAACTCCAGGATTCTGAAGCCACCTCTTCCGCTGGCTGAAAAACTGGAATGTAATTACCTTTGGTTTTATGGAGAATATGCCTGCTTCCATCTTTTACAGCTGCGACAAAATAAATGATCCTCTCCCAGCTGCTATCCAGGAAGAGCTTGATTTTAGTGCCTAAAGAATTTTGTCTTCTACAATTTTGGGAATGTGCCCTGGCCACAAGATCTCTCATCAAAAGTTTCAGAAAGAGGATTCAATAAATTATCTGAAATCAAGTATAATATTTTTCTTTGTAAAGTTTCATGCTGTTCCCGCCCAGCAGGATGGTAACATTTTGCTCCGTGTGAGGTCTGCAGTGTAAATACCTATTTGAAGATAGAGCCATCATTCTGGCTTTGGTTTCAATGAACCAATAGTCTTACTGAAGTCAATTAAACTGACTGAGCCCAAGCTGCAACGCTGTGCTGTCTTAGACAGATGAGGACTGGTGTGTGGGGGGTTTTTCCCTCTTTTCTGCCTCTGTGTCTGTGTCTCTACAGGTCCTTAACGTTATGTCTGACAATGTCATCAATCTTAAAAAGAAATTTAAGCTAATTTCCTGTTTCGATTTTTAAAAGCCATGTATGAAACTGTCAAATTAGAGTGGCTTAAACTAAATATACTTTGGAAATCATGTAAAACTTCGAAACATTACTACAGCATGCGTAGCAATGATTGTGGATGTTGCTGACTAATTTATAACATCTGGCAGGTCATCCTTTAATCTTTAGCCACATGAAAGTAAGGTCCATAGAAGAAAGGTAAGATTAAACCCTGGAATACCCAGCGAAGCATGGCCTACAACTATAGTTTATCAGCAAATAGTAAAATGGGTGACAGAGACCTTCTGTATTTCTCTTTCTTTATCAAGTCACTAAACAAAGAGGATAAAAAGGCACCCACATGGGTTTGAAGAGGGGACAAAAGGAGAAAATACATGGCAGTATATTAAGATGACGCCTCAAGATCCCTTGGTACACAAAAAGTTATTTCTAAAAATCATATGCCTACAAGGTTGTTCAGCTGTTGGGTGGAACACATGCGTCCCTGGACTATAGGGCTGGATTATGTCATTAAAGAGTTCAGTTTCAATTTTAGGCTAATATGTAAATAGATCATTGTACTAAGGCAGCTGTTAAAGGGACCCCAGGATGAGTTATTTGTTTAGTTGGATGTGTTCAACAATAGCCTTTGTCCCGGAAAGAGCCAGAGCAAACAAATGATTGTAAAAGGGCACACTTGAAAACAATTACTTTTCACCCATTCCTTGACAGCTTTGGCTGTGAAACCACCCAAGGTAGAGAGAGCTTCTATGCCTCTGTGGCTCCAAGTTAAGTTTTAGAAATGGGGGTATTTCAGTGGGTTGCAGATTCAATTTGGCTAATGGGAATTAGATCCTTTTAGCATCTTGTATTTAGGGGCTGCAAAAGTCTTGCTGAGACAGTGCAACTTCCTAAATTTTTGGCAAGACTTATTTGTAACAGTAGTGAACCATCTCATTATTGTGCATAAAACTATTCAATTATACAAAGAAATTAAAATATAAAAGAATAATACCATGGCTAAAGAATTCAATTACATTCAAAGGTTCATTACATTAAAGAAAATGGGTTAGGATGGAAACTGGATTTAATTGCACGGCTAAGCATAATCAATATTCTTACCTAGTTTTCTACTATCTATTTGTTTATGAAGTTTCTTCCCTTAGGAAAAAGCTATTCCTGTAGTTTCTTGAAAACTTGCATAAATCTTTCTGGGGGCAAAATTTTTTTTTTCATAAACAAAAAAAGCCCTTTCAATAGCCATCATCTCTCCTGTACATTACTAAATAAGACCTTAACATATATTATAAACCAGGAAGGCTTAGGGGAAAAAAGGGAAGCACTGAAGTTTATTATAAAATAACATGTTCTAAAAACTATTAAAACTTGAGAACTAACATAGGTCAAGAATGCATATGCAGAACTATCTCAAATCTCTGATTTGAACAATTTGAGTATTGTTGGTTTATAAACCACATGTGATGGAACCAGTAGGGTCTAGTGTACCAAATTTAATTCACATTTTCCAAATGAGTAGGGGTTTGTTGGAGATTGGAAGCACGTAAAACGGAAAGGAATGTGGATAGCTAACGTGGCAGAATGCTTCCTAAAGAATGATTTCTTTAAAAAGCATTTTTTTATGTAACTTCTCTTAAGGATCAGAATTCCCCTCAGTCCTGGTGCCCCACCCCACCCTCCAGCTCCCCACTATCTTTAGTTAAGAAAAAGTTTTCATTCCTTATGTGCCTGAAGAGCTCAGTGTGGCAGGGGTCTGCGGATCATCGGAATATTCACAGTGCATATTGCACTCAGGGAGGCTTAATGGCAAATATTTCTAAACCTTTCTCTGAACTCCCTGGTTCTGTCCGGCTCCTGGCAAGAACCCTGGAGCTGATGTGAATGGAGCGATTTTGTACGTTAATTCAGTTACAACACAGGAGCTTCATGACAATGTTTTGAATAAAATGCTGGAATATCTGTTCCCTGAATCTCAGACTACTGCTGCATATGGTAAGAATAAAGAGAGAGTTACAGCTGAAAACCTGCAGCAAGACAGTTCTCACTCATCTGGGAATAGAAGGAGTTGGACAAATGCTCCCTCAAAAGGCATGAACATTTGGACAGAGCTGGGGACTGAAAGAGAATGATGTTCTCTAGTTTCACCCATTAGTGAACCAACTAACAAACACAATGGTGTTGTTGTTATTCTTTTGCCATAAGCAACAGGACTCTGTGTGTGGGCAGCAGTTTAGTGGGGAGGAGGATAAGTCGACCCCTTTTTGTCCTATTGATTTTTTCCTATTTGCATGACTTGAGCAAATTAAATGATGCAATATGGCTTTTTGTTACAAAACAAAGTGAGAGATACCACCCAGACACATATGTTGATTCGTAGGAGCTGTTTACATGAGAATAGAGTGAAATCTACCGTGAACTGAGCATAAAAATTAGATTCAGCCTGGGTATTTTTTTTTAATGCCTGGGTCAGGAAGACTGAAGCACAAGTTTTCCAAAAGTCTCTCAGACCTTGACAACTGCAGGGTTGTAACAGAGGAATTCTTAATTAAACCTAAAATGGGGAAAGGGAGGGGGAGCAAAGACACCTGATTGTTTATTTCACCCGCAGGGATTATTAATGACGTGATTCCTTGGAGTACAGTAGAGAGCACACATTACTGCATCCCAGGCCAAGAAAGATGTTGCAAACTCAAATATAAGCACGTCTTTACATTCGACCAACACTGTTTTCATATTTGCTTAAACTTATTAACACCGGGGAAAATGTAAATGCCATTACCCCTAAAACAAGTTTTTTTGGAGAAGATTTTCCTAGACAACTACCACTGAAAGACAGAATGTATAATGTTACAAAACATGACAAACAGACGGAGAATCGCCCCGGTTTTATGTGATAAATACGCCCCCAGCAAAATCTTTCGCCCACTTTTGGGTTCTTAACTGGAGTACCACGAGTTCCTTGTCTCTGTTTAACTATTGTAATGCAAGACACCCCCCTCTGACGGGGCTGGGGATCATAAACCAACCATGCTTCAACATCCTTTAAGATTCACTCCTCTCCCTAACCGAGCACGTGGAGAAAACTGCACAAATCTTTTTACCCTAGAAAAATAAACCGGAAACCACAGCCACCTTAATTAGCAGTTTCACCGCAGCCAATGCCCGATTTGATCCAAAACACACTGTTAATCGCGATTCTTTTAAAATATTTACCCAGCCCAGAATGCAGGTACCACAGAAGCTTCTCTTTTCTGAGACAGGCAGTTTTGCACAGCATCCCAACCGCGGACTCTTGGGGGCGGGAGAGGTATCTGCGCACCCCAGAGGAACACACAAACGCATCACGCCAACGCTTTACAAAAGTTATCAAAAAGAACTGCCAAAACAAGTGTCGCCCCTCTTCCAACCACCAGTATTGCCGGAGCCACTGGGAACTCCACCCGCCAGTATGCCAGTCTCGCAGCTGTGAGGCGGGTGCGTGCCTACCTTGTTATCCAGGCGCCCCAGCCCCGGGCTGTCACTCCGCAGGCAGCAGGACAGCCGAGGGTAGAAGCCACCGCACAGCATCTCTCCCCCACTCAGCAGCTCCAGCTGGGACATCATCCGCCTATCTCTCCTCTTCAGGCGCTTCGGGGGGGTCCCATTCAGGCACCTTCTCCTCCTCGCTCCGCTCCCTTCGCTTCTTTCCCCAAACTTAGCATCCCCCTCAAAGAAGCCCAGAGCCACGGCCAGCAGCAGCAGCTTAAAGGAGAGCATCTTCAGCATCGTCTGCCCCGCGCGGCAGGGGCTGGGCGCGGGAGGACGGAGGGGAACGCCACTGCCCAGCAGGGGCACTAGGGCGCAGCTCCAGGAGGAGGCTGCGGGGCGGCAGGACACTCGAGAGGCAGAGAGAGGTGGCGGGTGCGAAAAGATGCAGAGCGATGCAACCTTGCGAAAAATAAGACGAAGCGACGGGCCCGATGCCTTAGGGGAGCCCGAGGAGCGAGATAAAGTTGTGCAGTTGACACCGTTTGCAGTGGTGCCAGTGTCAGTTGGGTGGGGGGCTTTCTGCTGCGGCTGGGAAGTGGGAGGAGGAGGAGAAGTTGGAAGAGGAGGAGGAAGAAGAGGAGGAGAAGACGGCCACAGAGGTTCACTTGTCCGTGTAACGGGAGTTGTTTAGGTGAGACAGTAGCAGGAACAGAAACGGCGGCGGCGGCGGGGCAGGCGGAGGCAGGGCCAGCGCTGGGCTCTAGATGATGCTGAGGTCTCCTCTGCCGGCGGCTGCAGCTTCTCACACAGCCTCT